ATTAAATCAATGGTCGATCATATGAGAATCAATTCCCAGTTTTGGATTACCATGACATACATGATTACATTTGATTTTTATTCTACTCTTAAATTCAAGTTTTGCAATTAATGTTATCAATATTAAGAATTGGAGAATTTTAAGCTAGGAAAACAAAAGCTAAGGAGGAGGGTATTGCTTGAAACATTACATGTTATCCTTTCAGTAAATATATGTAAGGTTATAAAGACGAGTTACATTTTATGTAACTGTGCCCTATGTATGATGTTTTAACACATTAATATTTTTCCAACACTATTTTCTATAAAAAATGTACACTCTCTCAGAACGTACTACAAACTTCTAAGACTGAAATCCTTATTATTGTCACGTTCTTGGCTCGGGGAAACCATGCAAAGCCTTATGATTTATAATAGACGCATACACTACAGCTATGTGCGAAATAGTTCTGAGCTGTCATCGCCTTACGTTCTTTATTATTATAATGTTAACTGAATGTTAACTACACTTTCGATATCTTGTTATTGTGTCCCCCCTTATACGTGTATCTACACTGTATTTGGGTCGTTAGCCTTTGATAATGATTTTTTTTACTTTACTAACAATGTAACATAACTGACAACGCCAGACCCAAAGTGCCCTCCGTCCATGGCAACAATTACCTTTCTTACTGGAGCCGGAAGCAGCTGGCAGCAGGACAGATCTGATCACGTGACAGTGTCGTGACCGGACGTTGTCGAATGTCTGTCGTTCAAAGATCCGTGGCGACTTGTGGCGACAATGGGTGACGATCTGGTTGTCAGGTCCTCTCTGTTCGCAGACAAACACCCGGGGCCTGCCGTCACACCCAGGGGGGACGTACACGACGACCGTGTTTCCTAGCAGTATGTTCGTAGGGAGTTTGTCACCTAAGTATACATTTACGATGTTGTTCTCTCCGAGTTGTACAATTGTTTCATTGCTATCACTAGTATTGCTATCTTTCTTTTGAATAAAATAAATGGTGTTTTTGTGCCCGATTTGTACAATGCGCCGTATATCGATTTGAGGACGATTACAGAGACGCTTCTTACAGCTGTCTTGTTTTCGGTCAGATTTAAAGACTGGTTGGCATGTTTCAACTTTCCTTTTCTACCTTTCTTTGACCGTGAAAGACATGTATTCTGGGCGTTCATATGCTGATAAATGTACTTTAATTGTTTGTTCGTCTGAAAGCCAGACGGTGCGACGTGGTATGCCCCCCTAGCTTCAGACATGGCCCCGGAGTTTGAACAAATCCCTGGTTCGTATGTCACCACTCGCCGTTGTCTCTGGGATGAAATGTAGAAAGAATTATATCAGCTTTACAAACGACAAATCTTAAAACGATTTCATAGAATAGTAACTTATATTGCCCTCTTGCCTAACAAGCAGGAGGTTACCTACAGGGAAGTCTTTTCACGGGTGAAGGACTTTAGTGATTGTGCCCCTGATTCGTTCATGCTGGACTACGAGATGGTCATTTGGAATGCTGCTGTGGCAGAGTTCCCCGATGTGGAGATGTAGGAGTTTTGGCCTACAAGCAGAATACGCCACAACACCTGAGCTTCAAACACAATCCCGAATGATTTCTGCGCTGGCATTTATTCCGGAAGATGAGGTGGTTGAAGCATTCGAGTCACTGACAGAGCACCTGCCTGAGGAACTCCAACCAGTAGTGGATTACTTCGAGGACACATACATTGGACGCCCACAACGCAGAGATCAGCGCCTTCCACTGTTCCCATTCCCATCCTAGAACCAGCACCAGAGAACACTGGATGGCCTACCAACAATCAACCAACAATCACCTTGAGGGCTGGCACCGGCGCCTCTAAAGCAACATGTCAGGCTGTCACTATAAGAAATGTGTAATTGAAAAATGTAATTGGGCATTGATTTGTGCAAGATTTGTCAAGTTGGTTATATGAAAGAATATGTTGTTATTTGTTATGAACTACCATGTCAAACTCAATAAAAATTGGTAGAGAAACTGAATTATGTTTTTATGTTTTGGGTGGCAATTTTCTCGGTGGCAATTTTCCTGGGTGGCAATTGTCCTGGGTGGCAATTGTCCTAGGTGGTAATTGTCCGGGTGGCAATTGTCCTAGACCCCAGTAACTTATATTGCAAACCAGAGCCAGAGAGGTCTTGAGAAGCACATCCAGTACTCTGATTGAACTAAGTTATTCTATTAATCTTAGAAATCTACGTACGTGTCAACCGAAAGAACAAGAATTACCAATGTGAAACACCGCATTTGAAAAATGCCCTTTACCCTTAATAAAAACGTACACATCCAATTTGACCTGTATAGTTTACATGTAAAATAGGCAGCAACCCAGACAGAGAGCTGCATTCATGGTTTCACCTCACCAGCTGTTTGCTACAGCCTTTGCAGTGGGTGAATCAATATACATATTGATTTGAGTTGTGCGGTAACGCTACATGTGTATGTATACGTGGGTATTTGAGAGTTGCCACGTCCTCGCATGTGTTTGTGACGGGTGCCAGGATACACTGGCAAACGCCATGTGCCAACACAATTTGAGTGAGTGAGTGAGTGCAGTTTTACGCCGCTTGTAGCAGTATGCAAGCAATATCAAGGCGGGGACACAAGAAATGGGCCCCCATTTTTATAGTGAATCACTGACAAATGCCTTTGTTATGGTCGTTAGGTGGAGTCAACCTTTGGAGAATGTCCACAGAATAACTGAAATATTGTTTTGTAGATGTTCAATATTTGTGTGTTACCTTGTAGATTATTTGTAGGTAATTTTCATGACGGATTCTGCCTTGGACAAGCCAGGAAAGTAAAGTGAAGAAAATGACACCTACCTGTCCTGCCTACCACAGTGCCTGGTCGAAACAACCTTAGCTGCAAACCCCGTATTAAATAATTTCAAAATATACACGCAATAAGTATCATGTCAGCTCTTATATACTGTACTGTTTCCAATAGCTACGTCATTGTCAACCAATCAGCTCGGTGCATTCCGAAGTGTGCGTGTTACTGTGCACGTTTACATAAAGTCACGTGATGCTATCCGCCTCAAGCTTCATAAGGGCCGGCAATTCAACATGGAAATATTATTGTCATGCCTTACGTGTCATTGTCAACCATCTATTCATACTTTACCAACAATGACTAGTCACAATCAATAATTACTGTAGATCGGTGTAGATGTAACACATGCTCAACGGGCTTTAGAAGGTTGTGGTGTCTTTAAAGGACTCCCCTGGCTGTACAATCAATTTCGTTTGTAACGAACCGACGGATATAACGAACTGTAGATCAGTAACATCATCAAGAATGTTTTGATCCCTTGTTTATTAATTGTCTCAGTATGACTGACAGTATTAGCTATGACGCTGACAATATGAGCGATTGGGCACGGTGACAATAACTACCTAAACGATCCCGACGACAAGATGCGACTGGCAGACTCCTACAGATGTCGTACTTACTAGGGCTGGGACGGGTGAAAATTTGGACTCGTCCCAGCCCTGGAACTTACCTAACCCATTGGTCAGTGGGAGAGTTTGTTATATCGGAGCCAGTAGCGGGTGGTGGTTCCACTTGCCATAATAGTGCGTCTGGTTTATGCTTCGTTACGTATATTGTTAGGTATAGGAACATTTTAGCTATGTTGGCAAACATGACCACCCGATCGTCTCGTTCCGCTTACAAAGTTTCATCCGGGAGTGGTACAGATACCTGAGATCAATGCACTGATAGGGAGGAGCTGAGATACAGCGTTGTTCGGTGCTGGATCTGGCTCGACTTGTCATTCCGCGTCTTGAAGTTGGGTCAAGGTGACCTTTCACATGGACTTAAGCTTTGACCAGAACGTTTAGCTAACACCCCCAGGAGGGTGAGGGTGAGAGTTGTGTTCAGGGGTCGGTGGTCAAACGAATCTTAAGGTCGGGTTCCAGTACAATCAAGTGTTTGGTACAATGTGTCGGGTTTCGAGCAAGCGGCATCCTGTTCTCCGGACTGAAGCTCTGTCCACCAAATCACAGCTCCAGTCAACCATATAAGGAATTAAAGTGACAAATCCCTTTACCACCAAAAAAGTTCTGCTACTTCTGACTATATGATGAATATGTGTTTGTGTGTTTACAGCTGGTTGACGGCGTTCCCTAAATAATCGTGGCTGGACCAGACAATCCTGTGATTGACATCATGAGATAATGACGCATGTATTTAGGGGAAACAGTTGGGAACATCAAGTCCATACTGGTAGTTCGAACCCTGATTTGATTATGATCCTTGGTTAGTTTGTCGCCACCATGCATGTGGTCACGAGGTTCACTAAAACAGGCAAACGACCGTGACTAAGTGGCAGCTGACACGTGAAGCTGATATGCCGCCATGTTTGTCAAAATCTGTTTTGACGTTTTAGATTCCAAATGACGGCATCTTTTCGCCACTGAAACAGAATCCAGACTTTGTTATGCATTACTCTGTTTATTCATATGGAGAGATCCTTAAACATATCTAAATATTATCATACACATATCACAAACAGAAAGGCTTTCTTTCTTCGACTGTTTTATTGTGAGGTACAACAGTATAAAAGGTTACAATATACTGTTCATTGACAAGCTGATAACAGTACATGCACGTAGATATGAAAAAATACTTGCTAAACAAGTGGACGTGTCTACAAAATTCCTCTTTGAGGATACGGAATCTGTTCCGTTGCTAAATAATGTGTTATTTAACAATAGGAATACAATGTACTGCACACGCAGTGATGTAGCCGATGCGGCTTACACTTGTATTCCATACAGGAATATGTTAACCCACCCTCCCTGACCCACAAGAGCCGATCCCACCCAACCCACCCACTCCCTCGTCCCACCCCGGCGTGCGCAGAATTGATGCCGGGAACGATCGACAGTTGTTTAATTGAAATAGGTGTGCGACTTTGATTTTGTTTAATATTTTATAAATAGAATTTAGAGTGAACTCTGTCCTTCTGAAAAAATATTTCCGAGATTCATGTTTAACTGAGTGATCTAACGTATTTGTAAACTATATTTGCAAGTTTAACATTTCATTGGAAGATATCCAGGCAAAATGTTGAACTTGAAAATGTTGTTTACAAATAGGTAGATCACTTAGCTGAACATAAATCTCATACATATTTTTTCGGAAGGTATGAATTCAATCTGAATTCTATTTTTATAATATTACTTGCAAAATCAACGTGTCGTATACCTATTTCAGTTGAAACAACTGTTCACACATTCTGGCATATAACACACTCTTGAATTGTTATACACCCTCCTGCGCACGCGTTTATATGCAGCAAATGTTAGGATTGAATTAATGCTGCATGAACACCATCACGATCGGGACCACTAGGATCTCGATTTGAACTAAAACGTGGAACCAAATCGTGAGATTGTTTTTGACCTTCTGATCTTGGCCGTGTGGCCTCAAGTAGCGCCTCACAGACTTGGTTTGACGTGTGACCTTGGCCACCTCACCAACAGTCTGTGTACGTCGTGTTACCTTGGCCACCTCACCAACAGTTTGTGTATGTCGCGTGACCTTGGCCACCTCACCAACAGTCTGTGTATGTCGCGTGACATTGGCCACCTCACCAACAGTCTGTGTATGACGCGTGACATTGGCCACCTCACCAACAGTCTGTATATGTCGCGTGACCTTGGCCACCTCACCAACAGTCTGTGTACGTCGTGTGACCTTGGCCACCTCACCAACAGTCTGTGAACGTCGCGTGACCTTGGCCACCTCACCAACCGTCTCTGTATTTCGCGTGACCTTGGCCCCCTCACCAACAGTCTGTGTACATCTTGTGGCTACCTTCCGTGACCTTGGCCGAAGCTTCCTTCTTCTTCCAACACGTCTTGGCATTACTGAAACAATAATCAACAGAGGACCTTTAGGCTATCTAAACCCCCTGGCTTTGTTTGTAATTGCATTCAAATCTAATTCTGAGTAATTACAATTCTACCATGTATGACCCTTTCCATCAACACAATGTCATTCATAGAAGATGTTGAGTAAAGACACATCCAGAGATTCAAACAAGCAGATTTACACAATTTCAAAATTGTTAAGTCATTTTTAGCGAAACGCATTTCTTGTATATCAAAAGGAGAAAAGCATATGTGCTATCTGAAATATATGGGTCTAGATGAACAGATATTCTATTCAACAGGTTATTTCCGTCAACATTATAAAATATTAACACTCTGAACATCTGTTGTCGCGCTAATAACATGTATCATATAAAGAGAATTAACGTTAATTTAACGCATACGGTAAATCATTACGAAATTACATACCAATCAGATTCTTGACATGTACTGTTTGATGTACTATGATGTTGGAAAGGCCGTTCTGCACATCGGTAACATCTGCAACGATGTCCACCATCATGTTCTGTCCATCTCCATCAACAGCATCTGTCCTGTGTCTGTCGCCATCATGTACGCTCAGTCTTTGTCCTCTTTCGCTGTCCTGTCTTTTCGTAATTCTCTCTCTTTTGATGTAATCTCCTGTCCGAATTCTGCCACCATCAACGTATTGTTGCTGCGCTGTTTTGACAGTGCCATCTCCTTCTCTTCCTCCAGTACAACGATCTCCTCTCCTTTCGTCTTCATTGCTATCACATTCTCCCTGCATTCCCACCACAGCACCATCTCCGAGTACCACCTCTATTGCTCCGCAAACGTCATCGTTTCCTTTATCCATTCCTTCAGTGTTGTAATGGTATTTCTTCCATATTTTACCATCACCATATTCTCCCTGTTTTTCACCAACAGAGCCATCTCTGAACCCTCTTTCTCTTCCTCCACCGACAACAGCGCCTCCTCCACCTCCAAAGATGTACTCTTCTCTCTCCAATATTGATCCAAACCTCTCATATTCTCCCCGCTTTCCATCAACAGTGAGATCTTTGTCTCGTCTTTCTCTTCCTCGACGAAGAACTGATCTTACGCCACCTCCAGTCATATACTGAAATCCCTTCCACCTTCCTCCCTGCTTGCCATCAACAACGTCTTCTCCTCCAATTTCATCATCAATGTCCCCTCTATTTCCACCTCCAATAGTATTTTGATCTCTCCTCCATTTTCTTCCACAACCAAAACATTCTCCCTGCTCCTCTCCAAAAGCCTTGTATATTTTCCTTTTACCAGCTGAACAAGCACCCCGACCTCTGTCCACCTCAGTCTCCACGACACCAGCACGCCGACGTCTTTCCTTCTCAGTTTCAGAGACAAAAGCACCCCGACCTCTGTCCACAGTGTTCGAGACACCAGCATCCTGACCACTTTCCTTCTCAGGTTCGGAGACACCAGCACCCCGACCTCCTTCCTTCTCAGTATCGGAGACACCAGCACCCCGACCTCTTTCCTTCTCAGTATTGGAGACACCAGCACCCCGACCTCTTTCCTTCTCAGTTTCGGAGACACCAGCACCCCGACCTCTTTCCTTCTCAGTATTGGAGACACCAGCACCCCGACCTCTTTCCTTCTCAGTATTGGAGACACCAGCACCCCGACCTCTTTCCTTCTCAGTTTCGGAGACACCAGCACCCCGACCTCTTTCCTTCTCAGTTTCAGAGACACATGCACCCCGACCTCTTTCCTTCTCAGTTTCAGAGAAACCAGCACCCCGACCTCTTTCCTTCTCAGTATTGGAGACACCAGCACCCGATCTCTTTCCTTCTCAGTTTCAGAGACAAAAGCACCCCGACCTCTTTCCTTCTCAGTTTCAGAGAAACCAGCACCCCGACCTCTTTCCTTCTCAGTATTGGAGACACCAGCACCCCGACCTCTTTCCTTCTCAGTTTCGGAGACACCAGCACCCCGACCTCTTTCCTTCTCAGTTTCAGAGACACATGCACCCCGACCTCTTTCCTTCTCAGTTTCAGAGAAACCAGCACCCCGACCTCTTTCCTTCTCAGTATTGGGAGACACCAGCACTCGACCTCTTTTCCTTCTCAGTTTCAGAGAGACAAAAGCACTTGACCTTCTTTCCTTCTCAGTTTCCGAGAAACCAGCACCCTGACCTCTTTTCCTTCTCAGTATTGGATACCTCAGCACCCCGACCTCTTTCCTTCTCAGTTTCGGAGACACCAGCACCCCGACCTCTTTCCTTCTCAGTTTCAGAGACACCAGCACCCCGACCTCTTTCCTTCTCAGTATTGGAGACACCAGCACCCCGACCTCTTTCCTTCTCAGTATTGGAGACACCAGCACGCCGACCTCTTTCCTCCTCAGTATTGGAGACACCAGCACCCCGATCTCTTTCCTTTTCAGTATTGGAGACAACAGCACCCCGACCTCTTTCCTTCTCAGTATTGGAGACACCAGCCCCCCGACCTCTTTCCTTCTCAGTATTGGAGACACCAGCACCCCGACCTCTTTCCTTCTCAGTTTCAGAGACAAGAGCACCCCGACCTCTTTCCTTCTCAGTATCCGAGAAACCAGCACCCCGACCTCTTTCCTTCTCAGTATTGGAGACACCAGCACCCCGACCTCTTTCCTTCTCAGTATTGGAGACACCAGCACCCCGACCTCTTTCCTTCTCAGTATTGGAGACACCAGCACCCCGACCTCTTTCCTCCTCAGTATTGGAGACACCAGCACCCCGATCTCTTTCCTTTCAGTATTGGAGACACCAGCACCCCGACCTCTTTCCTTCTCAGTATTGGAGACACCAGCACCCCGACCTCTTTCCTTCTCAGTTTCGGAGACACCAGCACCCCTGACCTCTTTCCTTCCTCAGTTTCAGAGACACATGCACCCCCGACCTCTTTCCTTCTCAGTTTCAGAGAAACCAGCACCCCGACCTCTTTCCTTCTCAGTATTGGAGACACCAGCACCCCGACCTCTTTCCTTCTCAGTTTCAGAGACACCAGCACCCCGACCTCTTTCCTTCTCAGTTTCCGAGAAACCAGCACCCCGACCTCTTTCCTTCTCAGTTTCGGAGACACCAGCACGCCGACCTCTTTCCTTCTCAGTTTCAGAGACACCAGCAAACCGATCTCTTTCCTTCTCAGTTTTGGAGACACCAGCACCTCGACCACTTTCCATCTCATTTTCCGAGACAGCAGCATCCTGACCTCTGTCCACAGTTGCCGAGACAGAAGCATCCTGACCTCTGTCCACAGTTTCCCAGACACCAGCATCCTGACCTCTTTCCTTCTCAGTTTCCGATACACCAGCATCCTGACCTCTGTCCACAGTTGCCGAGACAGCAGCATCCTGATCTCTGTCCACAGTTTCCCAGACACCAGCATCCTGACCTCTTTCCTTCTCTGTTTCTGAGACACCAGCATACTGAGTTCTTTCCTTCTCAGTTTCGAATACACAAGCACCCCGACATCTTTCCTTCTCAGTTTCCAAGACACCAGCACCCCGACCTCTTTCCACCTCAGTTTCCGAGACACCAGCACCCCGACCTCTGTCCACTGTTTTCGAGACACCAGCATCCTGACCACTTTCCTGCTCAGTTTCGGAGACACCAGCACCCCGACTTCTTTCCTTTTCAGTTTCCCAGACACCAGCACTCCGACCTCTTTCCTTCTCAGGTTCGGAAACACCAGCACCCCGACCTCTTTCCTTCTCAGTTTCAGAGACACCAGCACCCCGATCTCTTTCCTTCTCAGTATTGGAGACACCAGCACCCCGACCTCTTTCCATCTCAGTTTCAGAGACACTAGCACTCCGACCTCTTTCCTTCTCAGTTTCGGAGACACCAGCACCCCGACCTCTGTCCATCTCAATATCCGATGCAACTTTATTCCTGCCGCAGATGGCACCAGGCTGTGGTAGCTTTATACCATCTCTTACAGGTGTAGCATTCCTTCTCTCTCCACACTCCTAATTTGTCTTCGTCTGTCACCAAAACAACGTCGCATCTCTTTCTGAAACCAAAAGAAACGTGTTGCACCAATGATCTGCACTGTAATCTCGAATATTTTAGTTGTTTCTATATTGTAAAATTTTGCATCCCCTATTTCCGTAATTCTTCATCCTAAACCCCAATCGAGTTGTATCTGTGTTAAAGAAGTAGAGGCAAATACGCACAATAACCAACTAATATTGCCAAGGGGGAACAGTGAGTGAGTGAGTAAATTTTAGCATTTCAGTCAGTAAATCCAGACCAGATAAACCGGTGATAGGAACACGATAACGCGCTATCAGTCTAACAACCGATCATCGCCTTGTCATCGAAAGTTTATTGTATCAAAGGCCATAGGCCCATATACATGAAATGCATATGCGTCAATATTTTCACAAAAGGTTAGCATTTCATTTGTGCTCTTAAAGGCACATTTGAAGCATAACATAACAAATCATAAATCTTGATAATTGTGGTTACCTTGGGCACATGCATTGTTGTGCTGAAGGTTAAATTAAATGTTTATTTGGTATGTATTGCTGTCGAACGTTATTTAAAGATAGACATATAAGAGTGAAATGGTACAGATCGTCGAAATTGTTTAACTTACCTGTACATACTATTTCAGACTTTGCAAGTTTATGAGGTCTCAATGTATCAATATTTAGCCTTGTACATCCTTGAGCACGAGCAAGGTCGTTTGCAAATGTACACTTATTTCCCTGCTTCAATGCCAATCTTTAAACGTGCATAGTATTCATGTCTAGTGCTATGTGCTAATATATTTGTCCATTCTTGGGTGTACGTATATATTAATCTGGTTTGAAAAATGTCAAGCTAGGTATACATCCGGCGTCTTGGTAGACCCAAACATGACCAGGACCTGGACTAAATAAAATATGTGTAACATTTACTTGCTCAGTTCAGTCTACCTACTGAATCAACTGAACCAGAATTAACTAACGTTATCCGCGCCATGTGACGCCATCAGTGGAGTACATTACACATCAGGTAAACGGCGTTTTCACTCAGTCTCAGTCAGAGATAACACAAAGACGTGTATACCTATACCAATGAATTGTACAGCAATCATACTGACTCACTGAAGAAACAAAACACAGTGGCCCCTCAGTTTTCACGCCTTGTTAACAACCCTTTCCAGAGTGACCCCTGAACACTTAGGTGTTAGGAAGGTGACAACCCATCCATAATCATACTGGATGGCAAGAGCTAATTTGTCTTGTACGGTTCCGACTGATCCTCTGAAATAGTGCACAATCCCATGTTTCTGCATGCAACAAACATGGCCGACTTTCCACTCTATTGTAAATGCATGTAGGATAACGTCCTTTACTGTGCCTCAAATCAATGTTTAACGAAACACACACATAACGATTTACACACATTGTTCTAAGTCGTTAGTAGTCAAAAATACGCTATGAAATATTGGTACTAACCTTATTTGAGACTTGAAAGTATACGTGATTGTAAGCATAGAATTGTCACCAGACATATGACGTGACCATTTGCAACACGCATGCGTAAAGTTGTTCTGTTGCTGACAGTGTGTTATACAAAACTACTAGACTGAAAAGACATAATTTGGATAGAAATAACTTCTAAACTCAGGGGCAATACATCGAGTCTACTTCTTTTAGTAATTACAAAACTGCAAGAACTGTTCGTAAACTTTGATAAAATATCTATGTCACCGTTGCTCATACCTGGGAAACTTGTATGATCCAGGGCTGTGAGACAGGCTTCAATATCGCATACAAGGTCACTTGGACGTTATCACATACAGACTCGTCTAACCTATGCTGGCACCATTTTGAACACCTATTTTGCATTCCTGTCTCCTCCTCATGCAATACTTGTATCTAAGCAACAGTATTCCATCCCTGTCCTGAGTTTCGTCCATGAAACAGTACCAACATTATTGCAAGATTCCCAGCTGCACGTGTAGCTATTGCCTTTCCACGATTGTGTTTCGGTAACCCTATTTTGTGTTAAAATCCAAAATATGCTAAATTTAATGTTTTACAGATAATTGTTATGTTTTTCAGCAGCCTGACGACTAGAATTCAAGCGAGACATTTCAAAAGCGAGGTGAGCATATTTATCATGCTTTTCCTGTATCTTGGTCATCACATTGCTGACAAAAGGGACAGAAAATGACAAAAAATAAATTCGGTGGCCTTATCAAAAAGGACAAAATGAGGCACTGCAGGCAGGTTAGGTTCGTACTCAGCTCAGAGCCCTTGCCCCTTTTACATGCAGCCCAGACAGCGAATTATATCTCCCAGGAACTTTCCCAGCAAGAACTTTCCGGAGAATGTGTAGATTCCTGCAGAGTGTCAGAAGGGCTGTGGTCCTGGCAGTAAACACGGGTTCTCAGCCAATGTCAGTCAGCAGATTGAGAGGTACTGGGCACCAAAAACAATGGTGAGTCGAACAACTTAATTCTTCGGATGCACGTGACTTTTTGAAGAAGTCGGCAGGGTTGTTCTTCTCCTCAACACACTGCACAAAACCGCAGTGCGAGTTGATATGACATCTATCGCATACTGTTCAAACCTCACAATGACACATGACGCATACATTATTGATGTTACAGGCGTGGCCGGCATTGATAGCCTACTGGCAACCCGACAGGTTTTGTCACCCTGTCATCTAAAGGAAGTTTTGCTGAAGCGTAATATACTTCCTCGTACACAAATAGTTGAGCAGAGTTGAGATACCCGTATTCCAGGCTGGTGTGGGTAGATATACTGCTGTGACATCATGGCGGACACTACACTTATCTTCGTCTTGTGTGCCCTTGCACTTCTGAGCGCTGCCGCTGAATCTAATAATGGTAAGTTGGAACTTCAGTACTTTATGTCTCTGGGCTGTGTTGTAAGTAGCAGTAGAACTTTTGTAGATATTCCATGTACCATGGATCCTCGGTACCAAAAGCTCGTCAGGTGAATATGTGACAAGTCTTGACCTGCTTTGCCCACATCCCACGTTTCTAGGAGGTAGTGATACAGATGCAACATTGCTCTGTGTGTCGGGAATCACTGTCACGGTATATTTAGGACCAATTTGTCTAGTTAACCTGCATCCAGCATGGCGCAGCATTTATGCCATCCGATCTGTCCATCCTTCCATCGGTTCCTGGCATATATTTGTTGGATACAACACATAATTTGGAATGTAACAATATGACACAATTCAGGTTAAAGCAAGGGAGTGTAATATAATAAGGAACTCTATGTAATTGTTGTAAATATACAATCGCAAAGACGTAGCTCCAGACAAACAAGTCGTGTTTCCCACTTGCGCATTATATTACTTAACTTCCTTCATAAAGCCTAACATGAACCCAGTCGAAACCTACATCACAATGCAACATAACCCACTTATCATAGCCTACACTGCAAATCTATCATACGGAAATATTATGACTCTCATATTGAATCCATACTTCCTTATGTTAATCAGGCGGGACTGTTTGTTATCAAACACACTGTACAGTCCTATTTTTGTCACTCTGAATATATATGTATTTATATCAATATATTTGTTTTGATAGAGCCAGCCACACCAGAATTATCTCCGTGGTATTATTTACACAGTGAATGAATATACTACACGTACAGTATAGGCTGGTTCGCATGTGGTTTTTGACGAAAAATGTGATGATAGGGACCTACGCAGCCAGCCCAAGATATACGAACTTAGCCTTGTACTTATATTTGAGGTTAATATCCAGGTCGCTTATTACGGCGAAACAACTAAATGCTCCAAAGGGCGTCGATTTAAGAATTATAATAGTTATTTCTTCATTTTCAGCGACAGAAAAGATAATGTTTATCACAGACAGTGGTGCACGTTTAGAAGTCAACGGGAGCGTGTACCGATGCACCCTGGATGGCAGGTCCAGCTGCAGTGTTCTCCCGATCCACACCCCCAACCCCAGATGCCCTGTATACGACCCGGTAGAGGACTACGTCTACTGGTCCGACCATGCTCTCATGTCTGTTTGTAGGGTCAAGTCTTCAGGAGAAGACTACGAAACGTGGGTGAACGTCTCCAGAGGTAAGGATGTAAAGATATTTGATACCTTCAGTTCAGCAGATGTGTGTATCGTTTTTGTGATTGTATTTAAAGAAGTACTATTTTGGTTCAACTTTTTAGGTTTATATGGAATGGCCCTTGATCCCGAACTAAGGGCAGTCTTTGTGTTCGACCTTAAGGATGATGATAATAGCTCCTTGTGGAAGATAAACATGGACACAAAGATCCTGACAAAGGTTCCGACTGAAAATTCACTTGTATGGGGAATCGCTATTGACACTCGGAACAAGTAAGAATTAAAGTCAACTAAAATTTAAATAACAGATTCAAGTTAAAGCCGTGTAAAGTAGGTATGCCAACAATGATTTGACAACCGGCGAAAAGCAAACTGTTGAAATACTCTTTTACATTGCAGGAAGTTGTTTCTAGCATTTACCGCAAAAATCACAATGATGAACTACGACGGGAGTGACTTTGTCACCCTACTAAACAAAAAGAATGGCAACCATTTTGGTATGATGTTTGACTCGGAAGGTAAGTACACACGTTTTGCTGTTTAGGCGGTTACTTATTCAACCTTGCCCAGAATCCTTATCTTTCAACATCTGCGGATTTGAATATAAAAGACAATTAGAGAGTCACATTTTTTAGAATAAATCTTAAATATCTCTAGGAAATCACTCCGTCAATGAAGCTGATTTGTCACTCTTGTTTTTTACCAAAGTAAAAAATAATAAAAACTCGAGCTGGTAACCTTTTCGATGTTTTGTTGGGTTCATTTTTCCTTTTAAAGATATTATCTAAAATAATAAACAGATGGATTTACAAAGCAGAGAATGGGTAGCGACAGATGACCGTGTTTTGGACTCGATCTATCCATTACTACAATAAGGTTTAGTTTAAAAGGTCCCATCCTCAGTGCAAGACCCAGAAATATACTAGCCACATAAAGAAACTGTGCACACAGAAAATTCCTTCAGAATTGGAATACAACACAGAAAAGACGACATGATGTAGACGCTTTATAAACTTATGTATCGGGCCACAACAACATGTCAAAAGAACATGAACAATACCCGTAACGATGACGTCAGAAGTTCAAAGTTGAGTAGGGGGTCACACGACGAAGTCTCAAAGTCAATAACGGGTATGACCACCATGCGCGTGAAGCACATCAGTGCATCGACGACGCATATAGGCTACCAAATGATCATTGAAGGCCTGGGGAATGGTTTGGGACGTGGTCACTGCCGTCTGGAACCTGTGTCTGAGATTATTCACCTGAATCCATCTGTCCTGTCTTGGCGTCCTTACTCGGGGACGCCCAAAACGTGGGTGGTCGGCCACGTCATTACTGTTTCCATAACAACTGACCAATGCAGATATCGTGTTACGATGGCATTGGAAATGTGCTGCCACCTGTTGTTGGCTCATGCCTGCTCGAACCATTGCAATGGTTTCGTGACGTTGAGCAGATGTTAATTTTGGCATGATGTGCACATGAATTCTCATGTGAATTTGTGAACGTTTGAATGACCAAAGATCAAGCTTTCGACAGTGACAGCAATTTCTGAGTTTTACATGTTGTGTGCAGCTGCACAGGCTGCACGTGCAGTAACACATTGTAACTCCATAGGCCACTATCCATGACGTCACGTCGCCTGGCACCTGCATGAGGGTTTGATTGTCTCCAATACTTGCTATGTTCACACCTTTATTTATGTATAAAGACACTGTCTGTCTATCTTTATATTTTCCGTGTGCACAGTTTCTTTATGTGGCCAGTATACAAAACATCTCCCAGGCTTCCAAAGATGTCGTTTTTCTGACGAAAGACTTACTGGTCCTTATTTAGCTGGAACAATAATGGACAAGTGATTTAGGTTTATTGCTATTTATCAATTCAAGTATGGCAGCTGTCTCAGATACGAACACGGCGTCTTCTGTCGCAGGTCACAGATTGTACTACGCCGACACTTCAGTGAGCACTTTGGGATCCCTGGACTTGGAGACGAACGTTACCACTGTGTACCGTAACGACACTGTATATCTGTCTGTTCATGAGTTCGAAGGTGTTCTGTATGCTGGGCCTTATGGAGACAGGTAAATGTTACATGGAGGCTCATATGTAATATCCATTACGTTGTATTCAGACACAGTATTGAAATGCGTATGCATGTTTGTGGGTGTGAGTGTGCGCGCTTGCCATTAAACAATTACGGTATATAATTTTCAGTCATAACAATAAACATGAACACGCTTTACTGCCACTTAACAATACATCAGCTGTTTTGCGTCACTGAAGAAAAAATAAATTATCATTCATTTACGGAATACCAATTGCATTATAAATATGTACACGTCCAGAACGATGTTGAAACTTACCTTTCGTCTACAAGACAAGATATTGCCATGAACTGACTATTGAATTTCCTTACAGGGGCACAGTAGATGTACTTACTGGAGGCTGTGGGCCACGCTCCTATGTGTACTTTAACACATCCATTCTTGGGGGCATACGTGCTACTGTCTTCAGGACATATGGTAAAACGTATATTGTACATTAGTACATTATTAAGACATTAGTACATATCTTTTGATCTGCTGTGGGCATACGTTGACAACTGAAACATTGATTGTGGATTTACTGCAGGTTAAGACGTGTATCTCTGTCACACAGTGGTAACGTGCTGTATCTGTGTATCGTTCAACAAGCTGCCCCTCTGGTTGGTATGGTCGGCTGTGTATCTCTGTCACACCGTGTTAACGTGCTGTATGTATGCATTGTTCAACAGGCTGTCCCTCTGGGTGGTATGGTCGGCTGTGTATCTCTGTCACACCGTGTTAACGTGCTGTATGTGTGCATTGTTCAACAGGCTGTCCCTCTGGGTGGTATGGTCGGCTGTGTATCTCTGTCCCACAGTGTTAACGTGCTGTATGTGTGCATTGTTCAACAGGCTGTCCCTCTGGGTGGTATGGTCGGCTGTGTATCTCTGTCACACAGTGTTAACGTGCTGTATGTGTGCATTGTTCAACAGGCTGTCCCTCTGGGTGGTATGGTCGGCTGTGTATCTCTGTCACACCGTGTTTACGTGCTGTATGTGTGCATTGTTCAACAGGCTGTCCCTCTGGGTGGTATAGTCGGCTGTGTATCTCTGTCGGGTCACACAGTGTTAACGTGCTGTATGTGTGCATTGTTCAACAGGCTGCCCCTCTGGGTGGTATGGTCGGCTGTGTATCTCTGTCACACCGTGTTAACGTGCTGTATGTGTGCATTGTTCAACAGGCTGTCCCTCTGGGTGGTATGGTCGGCTGTGTATCTCTGTCCCACAGTGTTAACATGCTGTATCTGTGTATCGTTCAACAGGCTGCCACTCTGGTTGGTATGGTTGGATGTGTATCTCTATCCCACAGTGTTAACGTGCTGTATCTGTGTATCGTTCATCAGGCTGTCCCTCTGGGTGGTATGGTCGGATGTGTATCTCTGTCACACAGTGTTAACGTGCTGTATCTGTGTATCGTTCAACAGGCTGTCCCTCTGGGTGGTATAGTCGGCTGTGTATCTCTGTCACACAGTGTTAACGTGCTGTATGTGTGCATTGTTCAACAGGCTGCCCCTCTGGGTGGTATGGTCGGCTGTGTATCTCTGTCACACCATGTTAACGTGCTGTATGTGTGCATTGTTCAACAGGCTGTCCCTCTGGGTGGTATGGTCGGCTGTGTATCTCTGTCACACCGTGTTAACGTGCTGTATGTGTGCATTGTTCAACAGGCTGTCCCTCTGGGTGGTATGGTCGGATGTGTATCTCTGTCCCACAGTGTTAACATGCTGTATCTGTGTATCGTTCAACAGGCTGTCACTCTGGTTGGTATGGTTGGATGTGTATCTCTATCCCACAGTGTTAACGTGCTGTATCTGTGTATCGTTCAACAGGCTGTCCCTCTGGGTGGTATGGTCGGATGTGTATCTCTGTCACACAGTGTTAACGTGCTGTATCTGTGTATCGTTCAACAGGCTGTCCCTCTGGGTGGTATGGTCGGCTGTGTATCTCTGTCACACCGTGTTAACGTGCTGTATGTGTGTATCGTTCAGAACAGGTTGTCCCTCTGAATGATATGGTCGGCTGTGTATCTCTGTCACACAGTGTTAACGTGCTTTATCTGTGTATCGTTCAACAGGCTGTCACTCTGGGTGGTATGGTCGTATGTGTATCTCTGTCCCACAGTGTTAACGTGCTGTATCTGTGTATCATTCAACAGGCTGTCACTCTGGGTGGTATGGTCGGATGTGTATCTCTGTCACACAGTGTTAACGTGCTGTATCTGTGTATCGTTCAACAGGCTGGCAATCTGGGTGGTATGGTCGGCTGTGTATCTCTGTCACACCGTGTTAACGTGCTGTATGTGTGTATCGTTCGAAACAGGTTGTCCCTCTGAATAATATGGTCGGATGTGTATCTCTGTCACACAGTGTTAACGTGCTGTATCTGTGTATCGTTCAACAGGCTGTCCCTCTGGGTGGAATGGTCGGATGTGTATCTCTGTCCAACAGTGTTAACGTGCTGTATCTGTGTATCATTCAACAGGCTGTCACTCTGGGTGGTATGGTCGGATGTGTATCTCTGTCCCACAGTGGTAACGTGCTGTATCTGTGTATCAATCAACAGGCTGGTTATCTAGGTGGTATGGTCGGCTGTGTATCTCTGTCACACCGTGTTAACGTGCTGTATCTGTGCATTGTTCAACAGGCTGTCCCTCTGGGTGGTATGGTCGGCTGTGTATCTCTGTCACACCGTGTTAACATGCTGTATCTGTGTATCGTTCAACAGGCTGTCAATCTGGGTGGTATGGTCAGCTGTGTATCTCTGTCACACAGTGTTAACGCGCTGTATCTGTGTATCGTTCAACAGGTTGTCCCTCTGGGTGGTATGGTCGGATGTGTATCTCTGTCCCACAGTGTTAACGTGCTGTATCTGTGTATCGTTCAACAGGCTGTCACTCTTAGTGGTATGGTCAGCTGTGTATCTCTGTCACACAGTGTTAACGTGCTGTATCTGTGTATCGTTCAACAGGTTGTCCCTCTGGGTGGTATGGTCGGATGTGTATTTCTGTCACACAGTGTTAACGTGCTGTATGTGTGTATCGTTCAAAACAGGTTGTCCCTCTGAATGATATGGTCGGATGTGTATCTCTGTCACACAGTCTTAACGTGCTGTATCTGTGTATCGTTCAACAGGCTGTCCCTCTGGGTGGTATGGTCGGATGTGTATCTCTGTCCCACAGTGTTAACGTACTGTATCTGTGTATCATTCAACAGGCTGTCACTCTGGGTGGTATGGTCGGATGTGTATCTCTGTCCCACAGTGTTAACGTGCTGTATCTGTGCATTGTTCAACATGCTGTCAATCTGGGTGGTATGGTCGGATGTGTATCTCTGTCACACAGTGTTAACGTGCTGTATCTGTGTATCGTTCAACAGGCTGTCACTCTGGGTGGTGTGGTCGGATGTGTATCTCTGTCACACAGTGTTAACGTGCTGTATCTGTGTATGGTTCAACAGGCTGTCCCTCTGGGTGGTATGGTCGGATGTGTATCTCTGTCCACAGTGTTAACGTGCTGTATCTGTGTATCGTTCAACAGGCTGTCACTCTAGGTGGTATGGTCGGATGTGTATCTCTGTCACACAGTGTTAACGTGCTGTATCTGTGTATCGTTCAACAGGCTGTCCCTCTGGGTGGTATGGTCGGATGTGTATCTCTGTCCCACAGTGTTAACGTGCTGTATCTGTGTATCATTCAACAGGCTGTCACTCTGGGTGGTATGGTCGGATGTGTATCTCTGTCACACAGTGTTAACGTGCTGTATCTGTGTATCGTTCAACAGGCTGGCAATCTGGGTGGTATAGTTGGCTGTGTATCTCTGTCACACCGTGTTAACGTGCTGTATCTGTGCATTGTTCAACAGGCTGTCCCTCTGGGTGGTATGGTCGGCTGTGTATCTCTGTCCCACAGTGTTAACGTGCTGTATGTGTGCATTGTTCAACAGGCTGTCCCTCTGGGTGGTATGGTCGGCTGTGTATCTCTGTCCCACAGTGTTAACGTGCTGTATCTGTGCATTGTTCAACATGCTGTCAATCTGGGTGGTATGGTCGGATGTGTATCTCTGTCACACAGTGTTAACGTGCTGTATCTGTGTATCGTTCAGAACAGGCTGTCACTCCTAGTGGTATGGTCAGCTGTGTATCTCTGTCACACAGTGTTAACGTGCTGTATGTGTGTATCGTTCAACAGGTTGTCCCTCTGGGTGGTATGGTCGGATGTGTATTTCTGTCACACAGTGTTAACGTGCTGTATGTGTGTATCGTTCAAAACAGGTTGTCCCTCTGAATGATATGGTCGGATGTGTATCTCTGTCACACAGTCTTAACGTGCTGTATGTGTGCATTGTTCAACAGGCTGTCCCTCTGGGTGGTATGGTCGGCTGTGTATCTCTGTCCCACAGTGTTAACGTGCTGTATCTGTGCATTGTTCAACATGCTGTCAATCTGTGCATTGTTCAACATGCTGTCAATCTGGGTCCCTCTGGGTGGTATGGTCGGATGTGTATCTCTGTCACACAGTGTTAACGTGCTGTATGTGCATCGTTCAACAGGCTGTCCCTCTGGGATTGGTAAGGTCGGCTGTGTATCTCTGTCACACAGTGTTAACGTGCTGTATGTGTGCATTGTTCAACAGGCTGTCCCTCTGGTGGTGGTCGGCTGTGTATCTCTGTCCCACAGTGTTAACATGCTGTCATCTGTGTATCGTTCAACAGGCTGTCACTCTGGGTGGTATGGTCAGTCTGCACTCTTGGTGATGTGTATCTCTGTCACACAGTGTTAACGTGCTGTATGTGTGTAATCGTTCAACAGGTTGTCCCTCTGGGTGGTATGGTCGGATGTGTATTTCGTCACACAGTGTTAACGTGCTGTATCTGTGTATCGTTCAACAGGCTGTCCCTCTGGGCGGTATGGTCGGATGTATATCTGTCCCACAGTGTTAACGTGCTGTATCTGTGTATCATTCAACAGGCTGTCACTCTAAATTGGTATGGTCGGATGTGTATCTCGTCCCACAGTGTTAACGTGCTGTATCTAACGTATCAATCAACGGGTTGGTTATCTAGGTGGTGGTCGGCTGTGTATCTCTGTCGCACAGTGTTAACGCGCTGTATGTGTGCATTGTTCAACAGGCTGTCCCTCTGGGTGGTATTAAGGTCGGCTGTGTATCTCTGTCCCACAGTGTTAACGTGCTGTATCTGTGCATTGTTCAACATGCTGTCAATCTGGGTGGTATGGTCGGATGTGTATCTCTGTCACACAGTGTTAACGTGCTGTATCTGTGTATCGTTCAACAGGCTGTCCCTCTGGGTGGTGTGGTCGGATGTGTATCTCTGTCACACAGTCTTAACGTGCTGTATGTGTGCATTGTTCAACAGGCTGTCCCTCTGGGTGGTATGGTCGGCTGTGTATCTCTGTCACACAGTGTTAACGTGCTGTATGTGTGCATTGTTCAACAGGCTGTCCTCTGCAAGATTGGTATGGTCGGCTGTGTATCTCTGTCCCACAGTGTTAACATGCTGTATCTGTCATCAATCGTTCAACAGGCTGTCACTCTTAGTGGTATGGTCAGGTGTGTATCTCTGTCACACAGTCTTAACGTGCTGTATCTGTGTATCGTTCAACAGGTTGTCCCTCTGGGTGGTATGGTCGGATGTGTATTTCTGTCCCACAGTGTTAACGTGCTGTATCTGTGTATCATTCAACAGGCTGTCACTCTGGGTGGTATGGTCGGATGTGTATCTCTGTCCACAGTGTTAACGTGCTGCTGTATCTGTGTGTCAATCAACAGGTTGGTTATCTGGGTGGTATGGTCGGCTGTGCTCTCTGTCACACAGTGTTAACGTGCTGTATCTGTGCATTGTTCAACAGGCTTGTCCCTCTAAAATTGGTATGTGGTCGATGATGTATTCACACAGCGTTAACGTGCTGTATGATACGCATTGTTCAACAGGCTGTCCCTCTAGGTGGTATGGTCGGCTGTGTATCTCTGTCCCACAGTGTTAACGTGCTGTATCTGTGCATTGTTCAACATGCTGTTGTCAATCTGGGTGGTATGGTCGGATGTGTATCTCTGTCACACAGTGTTAACGTGCTGTATCTGTGTATCGTTCAACAGCTCTACTCACTCTAGGTGGTATGGTCGGATCTGTATCTCTGTCACACAGTCTTAACGTGCTGTATCTGTGTATCGTTCAACAGGCTGTCCCTCTGGTATGGTATGTGCATCTCCTGTCCCACAGTGTTAATGCTGTATCAAATCATTCAACAGGCTGTCACTCTGGGTGGTATATGGTCGGATGTGTATCTCTGTCACACAGCGTTAGACGTGCTTATATGTCTTATTCGTATCGTTCACGTGCAGAGAAGTCTGTATCTCTGTCACACAGTTAACGCGCTGTATCTGAATATGATTGGATCGATGTTCAACAGGCTGTCCCTCTGGGTGGTATGGTCGGCTGTGTATTTCCGTCCCACATGTTAACGTGCTGTATGTGTGCGTTGTTCAATGAGCTGTCCCTCTGGGTGTATCGGATGTGTATTTCTGTCACACAGTGTTAACGTGCTGTATCTGTGTATCGTCATCAAAACATTGTCCCTCATATAGTCGGCTGTTATCTCTGTCACACGGTCTTCATAGCCATATCTGTGTATCGTTCAACAGGTTGTCCCTCTGGGTGGTATGGTCGGATGTGTATTTCTGTCCCACAGTGTTAACGCGTGCTGTATCTGTGTATCATTTCAACAGGCTGTCACTCTGGGTGATATGGTCGGATGTGTATCTCTGTCACCCCACAGTGTTAACGTGCCGTATCTGTGTTCAGCATGTATCGGGTAGTGGTCGGATGTGTATCTGTCACACAATTCAACGTAGGTTGTCGTTCAACTGGCCAGTCCTATGCGGGTGGGATGTGTATCTCTATCACACAGTGTTAACGTGCTTTGTATCTGTGTATCGTTCAACAGGTTGTCCTCTGGGTGGTATGGTCGGATGTGTATCTCTGTCACACAGTGTTAACGTGCTGTATCTGTGTACATCGTTCCACAGGCTGTCACTCTGGGTGGTATGGTCAGCTGTTATCTCTGTCACACAGTGTTAACGTGCTGTATCTGTGTATCGTTCAACAGGTTGTCCTCTGGGTGGTATGGTCGGATGTGTATTTCTGTCACAGTGTTAACGTGCTGTATGTGTGTATCGTTCAAAACAGGTTGTCCCTCTGAATGATATGGTCGGATGTGTATCTCTGTCACACAGTCTTAACGTGCTGTATCTGTGTATCGTTCAACAGGCTGTCACTCTGGGTGGTATGGTCGGATGTGTATCTCTGTCCCACAGTCTTAACGTGCTGTATCTGTGTATCGTTCAACAGGCTGTCGCTCTCTGGGTCAGTATGGTCGGATGTGTATCTCTGTCACACAGTGTTAACGTGCTGTATCTGTGTATCGTTCAACAGGCTGTCCCTCTGGGTGGTATGGTCGGATGTGTATTTCTGTCACACAGTGTTAACGTGCTGTATGTGTGTATCGTTCAAAACAGGTTGTCCCTCTGAATGAGGAGTATGGTCGGATGTGTATCTCTGTCACACAGTCTTAACGTGCTGTATCTGTGTATCGTTCAACAGGTTGTCCCTCTGGAAATTGGTATGGTCGGATGTGTATCTCTGTCCCACAGTGTTAGCGTGCTGTATCTGTGTATCATTCAACAGGCTGTCACTCTGGGTGGTATGGTCGGATGTGTATCTCTGTCACACAGTGTTAACGTGCTGTATCTGTGCATTGTTCAACATGCTGTCAATCTGGGTGGTATGGTCGGATGTGTATCTCTGTCACACAGTGTTAACGTGCTGTATCTGTGTATCGTTCAACAGGCTGTCCCTCTGGGTGGTGTGGTCGAATGTGTATCTCTGTCACACAGTGTTAACGTGCTGTATCTGTGTATCGTTCAACAGGCTGTCCCTCTGGGTGGTATGGTCGGATGTGTATTTCTGTCACACAGTGTTAACGTGCTGTATGTGTGTATCGTTCAAAACAGGTTGTCCCTCTGAATGATATGGTCGGATGTGTATCTCTGTCACACAGTCTTAACGTGCTGTATCTGTGTATCGTTCAACAGGCTGTCACTCTGGGTGGTATGGTCGGATGTGTATCTCTGTCCACAGTCTTAACGTGCTGTATCTGTGTATCGTTCAACAGGCTGTCCCTCTGGGTGGTATGGTCGGATGTGTATCTCTGTCACACAGTGTTAACGTGCTGTATCTGTGTATCGTTCAACAGGCTGTCCCTCTGGGTGGTATGGTCGGATGTGTATTTCTGTCACACAGTGTTAACGTGCTGTATGTGTGTATCGTTCAAAACAGGTTGTCCCTCTGAATGATATGGTCGGATGTGTATCTCTGTCACACAGTCTTAACGTGCTGTATCTGTGTATCGTTCAACAGGTTGTCCCTCTGGGTGGTATGGTCGGATGTGTATCTCTGTCCCACAGTGTTAGCGTGCTGTATCTGTGTATCATTCAACAGGCTGTCACTCTGGGTGGTATGGTCGGATGTGTATCTCTGTCACACAGTGTTAACGTGCTGTATCTGTGTATCGTTCAACAGGCTGTCCCTCTGGGTGGTATGGTCGGCTGTGTATCTCTGTCACACAGTGTTAACGTGCTGTATCTGTGTATCGTTCAACAGGTTGTCCCTCTGGGTGGTATGGTCGGATGTGTATCTCTGTCACACAGTGTTAACGTGCTGTATCTGTGTATCGTTCAACAGGTTGTCCCTCTGGGTGGTATGATCGGCTGTGTATCTCTGTCACACAGTGTTAACGTGCTGTATCTGTGTATCGTTCAACAGGTTGTCCCTCTGGGTGGTATGGTCGGATGTGCACCCGGGAATGTGGGAAATGCGTCAATGGAAGTGCTTGTGACAACATCGATGGCCATTGTGCAGATGGGTGTGACACTGGCTGGATTGGCGACACGTGTACTACTGGTGTGTATGAAGGAGTTATAATAGATAATAGTACTGATTATAATAAACTTAATTCCAACAAATTGTTCAGAAGCTCTCCGGCAAAGGCACTGTGAAAAAGCTGTGTTATTAGCATTCGGTGGAGCTGTTTGAGTTAGCGTCCACTTGAACATGGGTGTTGGTTGCAATGTATAATGTGTATGGTACTCAAATCACAGTTTGTGTTAAACTGTAGAGTTACGACAGTAGTCTTTGTTAAAGTACAGAATTACGACAGCATTATCTGCTACACTATCTGCCACTCAGAAGTCTATCCGAAACAAGTACGTCACGACTGTAGTCTGAGTTACACTATAGAGTTACGACACTGATCTGTACTAAACTATAGACTGAACACAGTGAACAATATCAAGCTACAGAATTACGACAGTGATGTTTGTTCAACTACAGTGTTGCGACGGTGTTCTATGTTCAGCTAAAGATTTACGACTATAGTTTTTGTTGAGTTGCTTTCTTATCTTGAACAAAGATAATATCGTAGTCTGCCGTTGAAATTACCTGATATATAATTCAGGCCAAGGTGGTGAGCGTCTTTAGATGACTGGGACATGGTCATGCTTTAACGCGATGATTGGTCGGGCCATCAGTGTTAGGTTAAAGTTGCGTGCACGTGATGCTGTCCTTTATTGTCTCAACGCACGTGGAGTTATTTCGGTTTTTTACCTTCCCATAATGCATCCGGGTGCTTACCTGTCCACTGGATCCACTTAGTACCTAAACGATATGAATATGAATTCAGTGTGTTAACTATGGGTAATCAATTCTTCACGCATGGCGTATTTTTTTAAAGTATGTCCAAATGGTACCTACGGTGAGCGCTGCCGGAAACTGTGTGACCAGTGTGTTGGCGGCGCCACCTGTCTACTGGCACGTGTCAAGCCGGAAACGTGGTACAAGAATTATACCATGAAGGTATAAACAATGAACCTAGTTATCACGAAAATGCTTTTATTACATGGTTCCGCCAGTGTTGCTGGGTTCAATCTACCTTCCAGGCTGGAACAAACATCGCAGGTTGTTGATTATACAGTGGACTGTTTAATGTGTATGTTATTATAAAAAACAAATGTCGTCCGCAGCACAGCTCCAGCCATATCTCCTATTACAGCCAAAATGGATAGAATTATAAAAATGCAAACATTTTATGTCTTGTATATGACAATTATAACATGGCAGCATATTTCCTAAATGATTGGCTGCTGTCTGTTTTGTTACGACGTGACGTCATAATGAGCGCGTGCCATTTCTAAATAAATAACCTCTTCTTTCTGCAGGGTGCCGTTGTTAAAACAACCTTATAATTAGCGCCACGCTAGTCTTAAGTCTATGTTATTGGAGTGCTAGTGACGATCACCTTAGCGCTAAGATCGCTTTATACAACGGCATCCAGTTTCTCAAATGTTGTAACGTTGGTCCAGCAAGAGCCTTTCGGATTTGAATTTGCACTTTCGTCGGAATCGTGGCTCGTTTGTTCTACATTGTATTGTGTTATTGATCTATTGCTGATTCATACTTACTAGGTTGTTAGGTACGTTCAGTTAATGATTTGAACAGTAATTGGGTTAATCATGCCAGCTTACAGAAAACTCACTCCAACGTTTTGATTTGTGACCTTGACTGTATGCACAGGACCACTCCACCTCATGGTTTGTGGTTGTTAATATGTCTACCTACCATGCACAGGACCACACCAGCACATGGTGTGTGGTTGTTAATATGTCTACCTGCCATGTTGTACTGTAGATTGGAACCTTGTTGTCTGGGCGCTGGTGTCTGTATGTGTCTTTCTGGGATTGGTGGTGGTGGTTCTCGTGATCCTCCTGGTCAGATGTAGAAGGTAACCATAGAAACCAATATTCTTTCATTAAGGTTAGAACATAGGGACCCACAAGAAAGAAAAGTCAAGTTTTTTATTCAGTTAAAACCCGCCATGATATTGCTGCAATATTGATAAACGCGGCGTAAAAGCCAACTCACTCACTCCTTCAGTTAAAATTCACTCATTGTTCAAAAATAAAATTCGGATTAATATATATATATATATATATATATATATATATATATATATATATATATACATATACATATACATATATATATATATATATATATATATATATATTATTGTCACTGTGGTTTTCAAATTAGTCGACATTAAAATGAGGATGAAATAAAGTTTTACATAGAATTGAATTATCTTCATAAATCGAATATTTGCTTGCGTACACGTCAGCAAATAATACGAGTTAACATGTTAACAACTTGTTTACAGAATGGTGATGACGGACAAGCAGAAGAAGACAGGCGTTGCTGCTGGTGCCGTGCGAAACCCCACCTACCAGAATGACCCGACAGATGCTGGAGATGAAATAACAAGTGTTACCCAACCGGATCACGTGTACGAGAAGATGCGCCGTGTGCTGCCCCCTGTGTATGAGACGCTACATGCCTAAGGGGTCATGATATTTGTGCCATGCCCCTGTATGAGACGCTGCACGTCTAGGGGGTCATGATATTTGTGCAATGCCCCTGTATGAGACGCTACATCCCTGGGGGTCATGATAGTTGTGTCATCCCGGGGCCCCCTGTATGAGACGCTACATGCCTAAGGGGTCATGATATGTGTGTCATCCCCCTGTATGAGACGCTGCATATTTAGAGGGTCATGGTATTTGTGCCATGCCCCTGTATGAGACGCTACATGCCTAAGGGGTCATGATATTTGTGCCATGCCCCTGTATTAGACGCTACATGCCTAAGGGGTCATGATATTTGTGCCATGCCCCTGTATGAGACGCTACATGCCTAAGGGGTCATGATATTTGTGTCATCCCCCCATATGAGACGCTGGATGTCTAGGGGTAATGGTATTTGTGTCATTCCCCTGTTTGAGACGCTACATGTCTAGGGGGTCATGGTATTTGTGCCATCCCCCTGTATTAGACGCTGGATGTCTAGGGGTTTATATTATTTGCGCCATCCATACGATGTGATGGTCTATGTTCCATCCGCGGTGTGAGACGTTACATCTAAAAGAGGTCATATTCATTGATAGTCTGTGTATTGTCGGTCGGTATGAGTCATTACAAATTAAGAGATGAATATGTTTTTGCAATATATGTATTGTCGCCATTCAAATATATATATTAAACCGATTTGATTTGTTAATATATTGTAACATGTGTCAGTTGTTTGTCTTGCACATATATTGTAAAATATTATAGCTATTTGGTATACAATTTACTTTGCTATACTGTTAAACCATTGCTTTGAACATATACCTTAATATGTAATAAAGACATTAGGGTTGAATATTTACCTTACTATGTAATCCAGCCATTTGGTGTGAACATTTACGTTTGGTTTGAACATTTCTTTTGATGTGTAATGTAACCATTTAGTTTGAACATTAATTTTGGTGCTTATCATAGTTCTTTACTAAATAGTGCAGCTATTTGCGTTGAACATTTACATTCATATCTACAGGTAGGCTATTCAGTTGAAACATGTATTTTGTTATGGGAATGTATTTTTGTTGCTTATAATGTCACATTAATTAACGTTTAGTTATTATGGGTCACAAAAGTTTGAGGTGCTGAATGTTGGTGTGACCTCCCATCTTAAACTTGGACTATGTAATTTCACTGATGAGAGTGCGCTGAGGAGTTGCCTCCCTTTGTTTGTTTTGCTTCTGGTTGGATTGTGGAAGCTGTGAGAAGATCGTAGCGTTGCATGTTTTTTGCTGGAAAAACTGTATAATTGTTATGTAAGGAATGGTTGTTGAGATGTATGGGGGGCGACTTTGGATTTACGCTCATCTGTTAGCTAACATCTACGTTTCAAGAGGCCTCGTTTACATTGAACTTTCAACAGCTGTCAACGGTCTTCAATCAGTACATCTGTTTTTACTGGGAACATGAAGACTTGGTGAGTTAATATTTTAGATTTGTGACCCAATATATTGGATTTGTGACTGTCATTCATTGTAACCTTGCTTATTCAATATATAATTGAATATTGTAGACTTGACTGTGTTATATTTCACTGGTTATAGGAGCCACATAGGCCTTTTATCTCAGTAATCTCTAAACCGTAACAAAAAAGATTAGCATATATTCCCCAAGAGACAGTTATATACGTTTGTGTGTTTGTGTGTGCGTGTATGTGTGTGCGTGCGTGCGTGCGTGCGTGTGTGTGTGTGTGTGTGTAATCCTAAAAAGACATGCTCATGATGTAGTCGGAATCTTACAGTCCACTCTGCGTTTAGCAAAGATTTCTGAAAGATGTGGATAGTGTTTTGTGGCTTATATGTATGATGTGTTCTTATTTTCATAAAACCTACTTTGAACCGAACCATCTCTCATATCGATAATTTGAAATTCAATCTCGCTAGTATCATCTTTATATAATAAACGTTTCTTCTATCCATCTTTCTTGATTATCAGGTACTCTTGGGTAAGTCTTTACATGACTCATCCTTACATCTGAAATGTTTCGATCATGTGTTGTGGTTTAATTCTTCTTACTGATCCCCCCGTGAAGATCCGGGTTAGGAATTGTTCTTCAGTAACCCAAACTTGTCGTAAGAGGCGAATAACGGGATCGGGCGGTCAGGCTCGCTGGCTTGGTTGACACATGTCATCGGTTCCCAATTGCATAGATCGATGCTCATGCAGTTGATCACTGGATTGTCAGGTCCAGATTCTATTTACAGACCGCCACCATATAGCTGGAATATTGCTGAGTGCGGCGTAAAACTCACTCCCTCATTCAGTTCTTACGTATCTGTGAGATGTGTACTGATCGTAGACGTCGTGAAGAAAGACTGAAGTAGTTGACGCCATCTGTTTCCCCTGCGTTGACACATGTGAGGCAAGTCCGCGAGGGTGAGTTTCTCAGGAATAATTTAAGCCTGCTCCCCACTGAAAGTGACTTGGTCCCACGTTCTCTGCGCCCATGCTCTATACGTCCATGTAGACAAGTCTTTCGTGTATTGACATATCTCGGAGTGACTGCATTGCTCTCAGTTTTACAGAAAGGCAGTCTATTTATAGCACCTACTTTCTCTGGTTGATTGCCCTACAATTTGAAACACACTTGGTCTTGTATTAGTAAGTGCACATGACCTTGTTAGCATAAAGTCAGTCCTTCATTCTCCCTCTCCCCCTATTCACTCCTATCCACTTGGCTTGAGATGCTAATTTTTATATTTCATTCTCCAGTTCAAATATTTAACGGGACAAAGGGATGAAGCTGTTAAAATGTCAATGTCGCGATTATGTTTCTCCGTATCATAAATGATATCATGTACGAATGCTGTACCCTTTCAATGTCATTGTTGGAAAATAATATGCTAACCATCAATTTTGATTTCATTATTATACAAGACATACTTGCTCGTCGTATCTTCATCAGAAGGTAAAACATCATCTCAGGTACATTGACCTTCATAACAAAACCTCCTTCCAAATGTTATTATTAATCTTTAGAATAACCTGTTGTGCAATATACGCTTCTCGAGCCAGGTAAATGTAGGCATTAAGTACGATTTTATAAATGATATGATATGGAATTCCCCCAAATTCATCTGTTAATCCTGCTTACTTTCAATGCAATAACCTCTAGAACAGTAATGCTACCATATTTTGGATGTTATGAAATGATTGTCCTTTGACTTAATCGGGATAATATGTCTTGAAGTGACAGCTGTTTGACTACAATTCCGTCATCTTAATTAATGTCACCATATTTTGCTTGTCATTATTGTCCTTTTGAAGATCTCTTGAAGTGAAAGGTTTTGATTCAAAATTCCATCATTATACTGGACTCTTTGGCTTAGTGAAAAGTGAAAAGATCACAAAGGGAGATATTGGTGTATATCTTTGTGTATCACTGCGCATGTGTGCTGCCCTTTGACATGGATGCGTTCAGTTTTTGATATGAAAACCGCTCGAAGTTAACTTAAATTCACACAATTTACTTATAGTATGTCACTTCCTAGACATACATTAACCACCGTACATATGATGTTTCCATCGAATAGGCGTCTCTTTCCTGTGTTGTAGTAAGCTACGTATTGAGCTTGTCTTATTTTCACAAGAATTACTCTGTTCTATGGATGTAGTTCAGAAATGGGTAAAACTTTTAAACTACTTTGAACGATGTTACGTCGATAAACAATTAGCAAGCTTGCCATTTAATATTTCAGCATTTAAATTCCCTAAAAGGTTGGAAAGTTTCTTTCATGGATTTTGCCATTAACTGTGGCTTTAACAACTGGTACCACATTCTGATTAATGGTTGGATCATGTGTGCCCGACCACCCAAACCCGTCACCTTCCTGTTACGACAAACATGAGTTGCTGAAGACCAGATTTAATCCTGGTCTTTGAACATCTTTACAAATGTACGATGGTTCACATCTACTCATTGATCACACTGACGCAGCACACTTTGGATTGTCATCCTCTTACTAATTAACAGTAATATTGATGCTTCCGTTCAAGGTGAGAAGGCTTCTTCTTCCCTCCTTTCTTGTGACAGGTGGCCACCACGGGGGTTGTGTAGGTATAGAGGCTAGATGACCTATCTGATACTCTACCACATATATCATGGAGGTTGTGTAGGTATAGAGGCTAGATGACCTATCTGATACTGTACCACATATA